TATTATTAATTGCAATAACAATCTAAATAAATAAAAAAAATAAAGATAATTTGGTTTAAAATAAATATTAATTTTAAAAAATTTTAGAAAAAAATTGCACATTTAAGATTATTAATTTGCTTAAAGATTTATTAAAAATTAATTGAACTAATTATATATTTTAATATTTCTAATAAATAAAATTAAATTAATTAATTTATTAATTCAAAATTTTATATATGTTTTATCTATTAATAATTCGATTAATTGTAATTAAATTATTGTATAAATCTTTTATTCCATTGCATATAAAATTTTTATTTTCAATCACTGGTTAGTGACTTTTCATTGATAATTAATTATTTATTACAATTTACAGATTTATTACAATTACAATTTATCAGATATCATTATATTGTATGTCTTCTTTGAAAAGACGGGTTATATCAACAAGTATTCAATCCTCTTTCATTTTTAATGTCGACAATAGAATACACACTATGAATCTTCATCATTAAAAAGAAAAGGAAGTCATATTTCGTCTACAAATTTATTACTTCTCTTTAATTTAAAATCTAAATATTTGTTTTTTTAAATTTCATTCCAATTTTAAATTTAATTTTTTTTCTTTATTTTTTTTTATATACAAAAGAAAGATTTTATCTATTGATATTATTTTTTTTTTGTATTCAAATCTTAATATAAAATTATATAAAATTATATAAAATTATATATAAATTATATATAAAATATGCAATATAGATATTACTTCAAAAATGTTATTCAAAGTTAAAATACATAAAGTTAAATTAAAAAATACATAAAAAAAAAATAGAATATTTTATAAGATAATCTATCAACATTCTAAATAAGAATTATTGAGAAATTTTGTTTCATTTCATCAATTAATAATAATAATTTCATCAATTAAATAACATATAAAATGCATATTTTCATTATATATTTTTGAAAATTCATAATATATAACTTATCAACTATTCAATTCTAAGTTATTTAAATCTTTTTCAAAATTATAGTTATAAAAAAAATTTATTTTCATTACAAAATATATTAACATATTATAGATCAATTCTTATATACATAAGTTATAAATAATTTCTAAAATATACGTACCACTAATGCACATATAAAAGCATTTAAAAGAAGAAAATAAAATAAGACTTTACAATAAAATAATACTTGTATTATATTGTATATATTTTTTCGATCTTTTTCAATGTTCTCAGGATATCTACGAAGAAAACCACACGCGTTCACATCGCGATCACATCGCGATCACGACTGTAACATCATATCCGATAATAACAGCGCTCAAATTCCCTTTCAATAAACTTAAGATATCGCATCCAAGGTTATACTTAATACTATTTCTTTTCAGTCTTAATTAAATATATATTTATATATATATAATATAAATAAATAAAAAGAAACACTATATGATATTTTTTAACAGAATAGAAATATAATGTTTTGTAACATATAATAAATAATATTTTATTTATTTTATTTATTTATTTTTTTATATACAATTTATAAAGAAATGATTTAAACTTATTTAAAATTAAATTTTATATTATATGTATTATAAATAATTCGTGTAAAAATATTTTTATAATTTTATATCACAATTGTTCTTATGTCATAAACAATATGTAAATAATGATTCTTTACATAAAATTCTTAATTAAATATTCGCATACATTGTGTGATTTTTATCACTGAGTTTCCTTGTCGGTAATTGATTTCAATTTTTCTTAGCCATCCATTTTTCTATTTCTTCAACACTTTAATTAAATTTTTTTTAAATTAAATTTTATAAATTTTTAATTTAAAAAATATATATTATTTTTACAGTTTAAAATTAATTCAAAACTTACGTGCGAGGTACATCCGTTAAATTTTTTACACCAGTTTCTGTTATAAGAATATCATCTTCAATCCTGATACCACCCGAACCACGGAATCTTTTTAATTCTTCAATAACGATAAACTTTGATTGATTTGGATTTTTCAATGCCGCATCTAATAACTAAATAATTGATCATATTTTATATCAATTATAAACCATAAAAATATATAAAATTTAATGTTTTTACTAAAAATGTATAATTTTTCATGAAATAAAAATCGTATCATTTATATATATATATATTTAAATTGAAAATTTTATACTATTATTATTAATTGTATATAACATATTACAAATTCATAAATTTAAAAAATTATAATGAATATTTTATTTATCTTAAGATTCAATCATTACTTACACAGTCAATAAAATAACAACCAGGTTCAATTGTTAAAACCATACCAGGTTGCAAAATACGTCCAGTTCTTAATTTTCTTAGACCTGGAGCCGATGAACGTTCAGGATGTCCTGGAAGATACCCACCAACATCATGAACATCCAATCCCATAAGATGTCCAAGCCCATGAGGTTGGAAAATTTCATTCAATCCTACTTTTATCATTTCATCAATATCGCCTACTAACAAACCATTACTCTTTAATGAAGCTAACATAGTCTTATTTGCTAAAAGATGCATATCTGTCCAAGCAACATTTGGCTTTGCAGCATTCATTACTGAATTACGAGCAGCCAATACTGCATTATATATCATCTTTTGATCTTCTGTAAATTTTCCATTCACTGGAAAACTGCATGTAATATCAGCTGCATATCCACAGTAGTTTCCACCCATGTCGAAAAGGCTTATAAAATACAAGAAAATATTAGTTTGCAAAAAAAATTTTATAACATAATATTTTATTATTTTCTTATAAAAAAGATTTGAAACTTTTTTTATTTTATGTAGCATATAAAATAATAATAGGATTTTAAATCTGAAATTAATTTTATTTAAAATTGCACTCAAAATTTAACTAAATTTTAAAAATTATATCAAAACTTACCATATATCACCATCATTCATAATTTTATTATTGGGTGCACCAGCATGTCCATAATGCAATATAGAAGCATTATGTCCAGATCCACATATACAAGTATAAGATACATGTCTACAACCTCCCATGGAATATACATAATGCATAAAAGCTGCTTCTGCTTGAAATTCTGCAAGCCCTGGTTTTACCATATGCATAATAGATTTGTGAGCGTCTGAACTTATTTTAATTACATATTCCAATACCTCAATTTCTTGTGGAGATTTTATAACTCGACTATAAAGAAAAAAAAATATATATATATATATTTTTATAATTTGTATCTTATAATAATATTAATAT